GGCTGGCATCAAACAGCATGGATTGTCTTGATGCAGCCCTTTGTGCATCCTGGTATTGGGTTTGAGGCCGGGTAAGAGTTTGCCCCTTTTGTTTGCATGATCCTTTGCTCCATCACAACCTTTGGATCAGGAGCTTGCCCTCACAGCCATCTGGAAACCAGTTTTGTTCATCAACAAGCAATTGGGAATGGAATGCATGCAGGCAGGCGGCAGCACTGGATAAGCCTACAAAATAGTTCTCCAATGATCCCTCCCGGCGGCACTGGCACGCACAGTCCGAAACTTGAAAGCCTGAAATTCTTCCAGAATGGTGTACTGCGTTTCGCGCCCGACGCAACAGCTATACGACAGCTATTGGAGGTGGTGGGAGCTCTTCACGCGTAGGAGGGGGATTGCAACACTCCGATACATGGATCCAAACGATCCCCGAAAAGAAGCCCGCCACATGGTCAAGTTAATTGACTCGTTCAACTGGAACTCACCCGATGGCCAAGCTTGTATACTTGCCAGAGAACTTACATACTAGAATGAATGGGCACTCTCCTTTCAGTCTTCAGCTGCCCACCGCCGCTGCGCACTTCGATGCCCTACAGATCTGTCATCGTGACTTGAAGCCTGAGAACCAAGATGATGTGTTCAAAGTTTGCGCTTTCGGTTCTGCCAAGCTTCTTGGCCGCGGACCGTCTTGCAACTACGTTTGCTTTCGATGGTGGCGTGCACCAGAACTGATTCTAGGCTGTCGGTAGAGAGCAACGGGGCAGTTAGTGAATGCCATTAGAAGGAGACAAGCCAAGGTCATCGAGGCCTTGCTTGACTAACTTTGTCAAACGCTGATCGTTGCCCAATGCAATCCAATGCAGGTAGTCGGGCCTTTGCACTCATGACTTGGTGAAGCTTCCTTCGAACCGTTGGTTTTCCGAGAGATCTACCGGAGCGATACTTCGCAGCACTTGTCGCAGCCTTTGGCTTGTCGGTACGCAGATTGTTTACACTCTTTCGCGGTTTGGCGATACCGCCCGGATGCAGGCATGTGAGTGATTTCAACAGTTCGAAGCCCATGCCACTTTGCACAACGATGGAGGATGGAGGACGACCAGCTTTTCCAAGACGTGAAGTTTGATGCGGACCTGGAAGGCTCTAGGTAAAGCCAATCAGCATCATGTCATGCTTGTTTGGCATGGCAGGTTTTTACAATGGGACGAGGGCAACCGTGAACTTGCAGTTCGTGGCTGAAGAACGAACGGCATGTTGTTGCATGGTCGGGCAACGGTTGTCAAGTTGGCAAAGCCCCCTCCGAGGCAGCAACCGACCAGCTTTGGAGGCGTCGAGGATCACCGGCGGAAGCAAAAAAAAAGGGCAGAGGTTCCTTGCAGAAAAGTAGGCAGAGATGCCAGGAGCCGCCGAAGAGTGCAGCATCCAAAGAGTCGGCCTGGAGCCTGAATCATCGGCCCTTTCTGTACCGGGAGACCCCACTCCGAGATCTTGGGGAAGTTGGGGATGTTTCGAGGCTGATACTTCCTCCCAAGCCTCTGGCTTCGGCAGCTTGCTAGGCATGGGATTTCTGCTCACGTCCGGCAGTATGTATGTATATTTTTGTTGAACATTCTGTATATATTATATGGTGATCAATGCAACTCGCGGCAGGGCGGCTGAGCTTGCTGCAGACGTTTGGAACCGCCCTCGGCAAGATCCTCAGATTCGGCCGAACTTGAAAAGCAGATTGGACATGGCTGACTTGCCGGTGAGGTGCCTCTACGGAGCAAGTGGTCGGTGCGGCGGTTCCTACATCTTTAGGATCGGCAGCTGAGCTGAGTTGGAAGTGATGTGTTGGAGTTATTCCGTTTTGCATCGAAGCTGCAATCAAGGTTAAGGACCAGGTGCCGACGGAGCTGTTTGCTGCTGTGCCTGCTGTCATGTGCATCTTCCAGCACGTGTGGAGGCCAGTAGCTTCATGTCCAAAGCGCAGTCCAGACCCAAGATGGGCCCCGGCTGGAGGCAGAGGCGGAGAGGTTGTTTCTTGGCTGTTTCTTGGGCCCAGGCCGTGGAGACAGTTCGCGTGGCCACTCTCGGCCCTTCTGGCTTTGTCTGCAGGGTACAGGGCCGTGAGGGGCCGGTGTGAGAGGCTTCTCACGCCAGGTGCCATCTGCGAACGAAGGTTGCTCGCGAATCTCTGCTCAACGCTGAGCCCGAAGAGGAGCTAAGGCCCTCTACGCCGCTCCAGGAAGGGCTTTCTTCTTTCTCTCCTTAGGCGAACGTCTTCAACTACCAGACAAACTACGCCATCCTTTTCGTGGCGCGCTCCCTGAGCTCGCTGAGCAGCTGAGCAGCTGGCTGCGCCCCACAGGGATGCACGTCAACCTGCGAGGTTCAACTGGTTCTTTCGGTCATCCTCCAGCCATCGGCTCTGATGTGCATCATGCTTACGGCCGCCGGCTTGGCTTTGGGGAGGGCGAGGTGAATTGCCCTAAGCCCTAAGCTGCAGGTCATCACGTGGATTTTGTTCTTGAAAAAGAACGAAGACCCGGACTGGGCACCCAAGCTGGGAGGTGTCAGCAACCGAGCTGCCGAGAGCGCGAGAGCTGCCGCTCCAAAAAAGGCAGATAATGAGATACTATAATATACTATAATATACTATAGTATACTATAATATACTGGAATATGGGTTTAGGAAGGTTTAGGGCTTAAGGTTTAGGGTTTAAGGGATAATGAAAAATACTAGGGCTAAGGTCGTCTTGTCGCCAATGCAGAGATGGCTTCTGTTGGCCGCCAGCCCAGCCAACGTGAGTCAGCGGGCTTTCAGTGTGGCCATCTCTGAGGCAGCGATCACAACAATTGTTTTGCTTCTTTGGGTCGGCGGGGTGATCTTCAATGCTGCGCGGCCCTTATACTCCAACTATGTTCACAGAGGTCAAGAAACGAGGAGTCATGGCAGAGAGCAGGCTTTGATGTATCTGCTTTTCTTCCTGGCACATGGCCTGTTACATGATCCTGGCCGCAGCATCGGAGGAGGTGGGCCTGATGGGGCTTGGCTTCTGTTTACATGGATGGGATTCGGCAGTTCGTGCTGCAAAAAACACCTGCTTGAGAGTTTCATCGAAGCTCGGTTTGTAGGTGCGAGTCCTCAGCTCATGCGTCCCTGCTCTGAGCAGGAGATCCGGTGCCCATCTGATGCAGTGAGCATTGGGCATGCGGAGACCAGCAGAGACCGAGCTCCACAAGCTCCATTGCGCGGCGAAATGGATGTCTCACCTGAAGCTTGGACTCGGACTCGAGAGATCGCTGCTCTCGGCTCAAGAGATGAAAGAGGCCGAGGCCCTGGGTGCGCCGGGAGCGTGGCCGGGTTCTGCTGGGTTCTCAGAGCAGAGCGCCAGCAATGCACGGCCGAGCATGTTTCGTCTCTTTCTCCTGAGGCCAGGGTCCAATGCGCCGTTCAAGGCGCCCTTTGCGCCGTCCTGCGACAAGTTGTTGTTGCTGCCTTTTGACAAAGGCGCCTCCTTGTGATCTCCTTGGCTGTGGCTCTGGCAATCCATCTGAGGCCTGCGGTGTATGTTACATTCTGATCTCCTTGGTGCAGAGCCGGGCAGGCTTGGGTCCCTCTTCGTGACCCTCGGCCGTGCAGAAGGCGGCGCGATCCCAATGTAGTATGTTCTGCTGGGAGCGATCATCATGTCTCGGCTAGGGGCTGTGTCGTTTGCATCGGTCTTCCATGATGTGGGAGTCTCGCCATGTCATTCAGCTGCCGAAGAAGTATACTCGTTAGAGAATGTGTTCCGTCGAGACAGCACCTGCAGGTCCACGTCGGTTGCTGCTTGGAGCAGTGGGCAGTCTGCTAGGCCAGGGAAGCAGACCTGAAATACATCGCACACATAAATCAGAATCAGATTGTGATCGTCCTAGTCTGCGTCAGACGTCGTTGTCTTTGTCGTTGATATCGTTGTCGCTCATCCTCATCACCATCATGTTGTCACTTCCTTGCTGCTCTACGACCCAAATCTTGTGGGTTGAGGGGTATGAACGCGACTGAGCGACTTGAATTCCAAACAAAACCCTGCACTCTAAACCAGCACAAAATGGCTGTGGCTTGAGGATCAAGTAAAGTCTGCCGGCCGTTTGCCAAGATCATGTATTTTCCGCAGTTCCACAGGCATGGTGTTTCCGCTTCTCTTGGTGCTCATGGGCCTTTGATCTGCTCTACGCCATGTCCAGTGGAGCTCCAGAATTTCGGGTGTGTTTATAGGGTTGCACAGGGTTTATGCCGCTTCGTGGGCTTCTGTCTGAAATTAGGGCTTTCTGGGTCTTTGTTTCGGAGGCTTGAGTCCCGTTCAACGGCGTGCTAAGTGTGTGCGAAGCCCTTGTGAGCGCCTCCGCCCCTTCCGTTCCTTCGCATCCGGTGCCGCCGCCGTGCGTGGATCCCCGGTGCTCGCACCCAGGGCCCGAGGCCACGACTCCCCCGGTGTGCGAAGTCTTTGTTCCCAGTGCAGGATTCGGGTCCTTCAAGTGCGCGCGAATCGGTTCACTGCCTCAGAGCCTGACGACTCAATACCAGTTGTCAAAATCTTCAAAGAGCCGGTTGCCAAGATGATGCTGACCCACACCAACCTGTTGTATGCCAAGCAAGAAAGGATTGCACAGTAGCTTGAAGTTATTGGCAACCATCCCTCAACCACACGTGAAGTTCCCATGTGAAGGTCTCAACGTTGGAACACCGAAAGCCAGCACCAGAAGACATACTCCAAAGTTGGCGAACATGCATATAAACATAACATGGCCTTGTGCTTGGTGTTTTGGCCTTGTTGTCGTCCTCGGTGTCGTCATCTTCGTCCTCGTGCCCCTCGGCACTTCTTCATGCATCGCGACGAAAGTTCCTTGTGGCCGAAGGTTTTTCCCGCCAGTCTGCGCAGGCCCGTTGATCTTAGCATCCCTTTTTCGCCCGTTCGCGTAGCAAGCGCTCGGCTGTGACCATTCGAAGGCTCAGAGCAGCTTCAGCACAGAGAAGTGGGATGGTTCGTTTCTGGACACCAGCAGAGACTGCAAGGAGAATGCCTGGCGCCCAGAAGTGGTATTTTTCCTCTTTCACAGTCTTTCTGGCTGGTCTGGCAGGGCGAGTTGGGGACCCCAGAGGGTGTGCAGAACTCAGGAGCGTCAAGGCGGGTAGCAGGGTTTTTGTTGAGTCTGGCTGCTTTGAGACTTGCCTGCGGAACATTGATGCGCTGGGCGGCTATGCCACGATCTTGGGGAAGGCCCAGCTGCCTTTAAAGCATTCAAAGGTTCGTAGCAGCCATATGCGCCGCGCAAGGACTCCCCGAAGGGCGACGTGTGGGAGTGCCTTGCGGAGTGCCTCGGCCTGCCTTCAGTTCGCTGAGCAGCTTGAGCAGTCTGCCAGGTATGACGACAAAAACATAGAAGTTCCCTTCAAGGAGAAGGGAGGCAAAAAAGCCAAGGGAAAATGGTTCAGCAACAAGAAGCTGGAAGTGAAAGGAATCGAGCTTGGGCCTCGGCACTTTCTCTAGGCCGCTCCCAAGAGCACTCTCCTCGTCCTTTTGTTTGAGGTGGGAGGATGGCACCGTCTGGGAAAAGATGGAGTACAAGGCCAGGATCTGAAGTTTGAATCAAAAATGAAAGCAATAGGTTATATAATATACATATATATAGTTAATATAGCTGTGCCTCGTTTTCAGATCATCAACTCCCCGAACGAGCAGATGGATCCGCTTGGCTTGGCTCGCCTTGGCATGATTTGCGAGCATGGGTGCCACACCCGAGGTCTATCTTGAGGTTGTAGTCAGCAGCCGCGTGTGCCATCATCTTTTTTCGGTGTCTCAATCTACCGCCTGCTGCCAGATCAAAAAAAAGGGTGAACAGCCAGAGGGAAAGCCAAAGTGATCTGGAGCTTGCGGCATCAGCGCCTCAACGCTCAAGCTTCCAATTTCTACGTGATCGTGCCGGTGCGGATGTGTCCAACATCTCTAGCTTTGTGGTCTTGTCCACACTCAATGTCGTTGCCTCTGTTTCACGCGGATGTGTAGGCAGCACAAGGAGTTGCGCCTGTGCCAGCAATTTTCTGACAAAAAGTGGGTTCCGTCCTGAGATGTCCAGACGACGTCAGACCCGGCGGCCTCGCCGTTTCAGTTCTCGTGCGCCGGCGCTTCTCGGCCGATAAAAAAGAAGCGAAGTCCCGTGCCTCGCAAGTCCCGTGCGCGCTTCCTTACGGTGGACTTGGCAATCTTGGCAAATTCGCTTCTCGTGGCTCGAAGTCGAAGGAAGCGCCCGGTAGAAGCTTCCGGCTCGGAATGCCTGGGTCGGAGGAAGATGCCGTACCTGTCCCAACGGCCGGGGGAAGCAGAGACAGCCCACACGAAGCAGAAAAAGTCGAGCAGAGTGGCTCATTTTGACAGGCATCGAGGGAAGACAACCTCGCATATGATCTCAAGAACATGGCCGCCTACGACATCTCGCCCATGTGCGGACCCACGTGCGTTTGTGCATTCTGCCTCTGCCTATGCAGCTGTCTGTCTTTGTTAACCCTAAACCCTAAACCCCTAAACCCTCTGTGGACAAACCGCTGCAGAAAAAGGCCCTCATATTAAAAGCCTAAACCCCTAAATCCTAAACCCTAAACCCCACGCCCCTAAACCCTAAACCCCTAAACCCCTAAATTGAGGTCTTCTGTCATGGATGTTGCAGCCTACAGCCGCGATTCTGTTCAGCCGGGGGCCCGGGAAGCTGGGGAACATTGGAGATGACACTATGCCATGTATGTATGTTACTCATTGTTCTTAATCATTACTCGTTTTTAATATTAAATTGTTCTTGTATTTTTTATCATTACTTTGTTATTCATTATTGCTGGTTAGTATTGATTTCTATTAACCATTATACATTGTTATTACTTCTTATTAATCATAAGTACTTATGCTTAATTTCTATTAGTCAGTATTAACCCTTATTAATTGTTATGTATGTATGCACGTACGCATCTGGCTCAATGGCAAGACAAGAAGCCAGTATGAAAGCAGTCGGACTCGGGTGGCTTCCAGACACGCATTCGGTGTCGTGAGACCCGTACTGTATCGAGAGAAGAACAAAAATCACATTGCTGGACATCACATTCAGAAGAAGCCGAGAAAGGTGGCAATTGTAAGTGTTGTGGATTGAGATTTCTTGCGGACATGCTGACGATTTCTGACACCGTCGTAGCAGGAAGAGAAACAATAACACAGAAGTTGCACACATGTTTGCCAAACATGTGAAGACAGCACAACCCATGAGGGCAAGATGTAGCATGCAGACAATTCCTTGAGGCCCTTGAAGCACGATTTGCCACACAAAGAGCTGGCTTTCTTGATCTTGTCATCATAATGTAAACATACATCCATAGCCCTTTTACCACGCTACAACATAGGTATGACAGTTTTTGTCCTTTATCTAATTCGAGGCAAGGAATGCATGGAAGGTGGCTCTGGCTCCGTTTGTTTCCACATCGCTGTTGGTCCGAGCGGGCTTGGAGACAGGAGTCCAGAGCAGTCCCGTTTCAACGGATCCGGGTACTGCGAGGGATGGGAGTATCAGCTGTGATACGATTCCTCCTACAATCTATCCAGAGTACATATCTATTCCTCTGTCGCTCTTGGTCTCATTCCCGAAGTGTTCACGGAACCAAAGGCAATGCACGGCATCACCCAAGTTGGAGTCTTTATCCCGACGCCCGGCCCTTCACGGGCAGAGTGGGGATCACCGAAATTATGGTTCAGGGTTGGGTGAAGTGAAAGAGAACCTTTGGTGAATCAGGGGAGACGTTGTCGGCCACTCCTCACCACTCTCCCCGCCAGGTGTAAGCCCCTGCTTTGCTTATGAAGGCTGCGGATGGCAGCTGCCGGGGGGGGGGGGGGTTCACTCCTGTACCCCAGAGAGATGATCCCATTCGTGAGAGCTTTGAGAGCTTTGATTGCGAAATCTCAGATGGTGTCAAGAATCAGCAAGAGTTGGAGTGGGCCCAATGCCAAAAAGAAGAGAAGAGAAAGCGCGACTCTTCGAAGCGGTGCGGTCTGAAGGCTCCTGATCAACAAGCTCTTCATGCTGCCCAGGACGCAGGCCTTTCCTGAGCCAGAGCCGGAGCAAAACACCCGGGGGTGTCGCTATGTCGCCGCCGGGGCCAGGGTGACGAAGGGACGATGGTGTCGCTCCCTGCAGAGGCCCGCCTTGGAGAGCCCTAGGATCCCAATGCCGCCGTAGATGCAAAGAGCTGGGCAGTCGAAATTCCTCAGGACACATTCCGGCTACCCCGGTCAAAGCCTATACCGAAGGAGAAGCCGAAGACAAGGTGGCAAAAGTTCATGGAGGTCCATTTCCTGCCACATAGCGAGCAGAGGAAGCTTTGGGGGGGTGAAAAGCTCAGGAAAGGAACATGAAGAAGCGAAAGCGAAGTCGGCTCGTCTGGGACGAGGCCGCCCGCATCTCCCGCCTGAAGATCGCTTGGCTCCAAGCTCCCAACTCTCTGCCTCCGCGCTCAGATCGAAGGGGACTGGAAACCTCGCTGGGGCCATAAGCTCAGAGGGCTCGGATGGGCTGGGATGGGTTTAGGGTTTAGGGCTTCAGGGTTTAGGGTGACCGGCAGGTTACAAGAGCATCAAGAAGTCTCAGGACAAGGCGAACTGGGTGCACGAGGCAAGGGCAAGATGAGCCGGGACAAAGGCGCTCGCGAGCCTTTGCTCGCTTGGGGGGTGTGCGAGGTTGGCCAACACGAGGATCCCAACGAGAATCCCTTTGACAAAGCCGGGGCCCAGAAATAGCTTTCTGCACGGCGACTGGGTGCTGCTTGTGCTACAAGTAGCATGACTGTTCAACCAAGGGAAACAGTGCACAATCTCTCGAGTTCTCTTTCTTGCAAAATCGGCAAATCTGATTTCCGAGTCCCAGTCGCTTCTCTTCTCAAGGTTTTTTCGGGGGGATCTGGCTTGTCTTTGGAGTTATCTGGCTGGAGTGAAGAGGGTATCGGAAAACAACGGGCGAGCGGCGAGATCAGGAAAGCAAGTTCGGTAACCAAGGAGGGCGATGTCGGAAAACAGCTGGACAGAATCACAAAGCCAGAATCAGAAAACAGCACAGACGAAATCAGAAAGCATAACAGAATCGGACACAATAATCAAAAAACAACATTAGTAAAACCAGAAAACAAGAGAGATGAGAAACTCAGAAAAATGGGCGTAACCACCCCTCTGTTTGAAGGCCGCGCTCCTTTCACCCCTCGGTTTTGGCCACAAATCGAGAGGTGAAGGAAGGCCGCGCTCCTTTCACCCCTCGGTTTTGGCCACAAACCGCATGGTGAAGGAAGGCCGTGTTCCTTTCACCCCTCGGTTTTGGCTACAAACCGAGAAGTGAAGGAAGGCCGCGCTCCTTTCACCCCTCGGTTTTGGCCACAAACCGCGTGGTGAAGGAAGGCCGTGACAAACCGAGAAGTGAAGGAAGGCCGCGTTCCTTTCACCCCTCGATCTTGCCCACAAACCCAGAGGTGAAGGAAGGCCGTGTTCCTTTCACCCCTCTGTTTTGGCCAGAAACCGAGAGGTGAAGGAAGTACGCGGTCCTTTCACCCCTCGGTTTTGGCTACAAACCGACAGGTGGTTCTGTCAGCCCTCGGTTTTGGCCACAAACCGAGAAGTGAAGGAAGGCCGTGCTCCTTTCACCCCTCGGTTTTGGCCACAAACCGCGTGGTGAAGGAAGGCCGTGACAAACCGAGAAGTGAAGGAAGGCCGCGTTCCTTTCACCCCTCTGTTTTGGCCACAAACCGAGATGTGAAGGAACGCAGTGTTCCTTTCACCCCTCTGTTTTGGCCACAAACCCAGAGGTGAAGGAAGGCCGTGTTCCTTTCACCCGTCTGTTTTCGTTCCTTTCACCCCTCGGTTTTGGCCACAAACCGAGAAGTGAAGGAAGGCCGCGCTCCTTTCACCCCTCGGTTTTGGCAACAAACCCAAAGGAGTAGGAAGCCCACTCTCCGTTTAGCCGTCTGTTTTTGGTCCACAAAAAGACAGGTGAATCCTTTCACCCCTCGGCTTTGGCCACGAACCGAGAATTGAAGGAAGGCCGCGGTCCTTTCACCCGTCGGTTTTGGTCACAAAAACCCGGAGGTGAAGGAAAGCCGCAGTCCTTTCACCCTCGGTTTTGGCCACAAACCGGGAGGTGAAGGAAGGTCGCAGTCCTTTCACCCCTCGGTTTTGGCCACAAAGCAAGAGTGGTGAAGGAAGGCCGTTCTCCTTCCACCCTGCTGTTTTGGCCACAAACCAAGATGAAGGAAGGCCGCGCTCCTTTCACCCCTCGGTTACCGAGAAGTGAAGGAAGGCCGCGCTCCTTTCACCCCTCGGTTTTGGCCACACCGAGAGGTGAAGGAAGGCCGCGTTCCTTTCACCCGTCGGTTTTGGCCACAAACCGAGAGGTGAAGGAAGGCCGCGGCCTTTTCACCCTTCGGTTTTGGCCACAAACCGAGCAATGCAGAGCGGCGCTTCTGTACGGAAGTGTGGTCTCCAACAACCTGGGAACTCGCACGCGAGCAAGCCCGTCACGCTATTGCAGTGGCTCTTTTCGATTTTCGTTTGTCCTGTTTGCTGATTTTCGACCGCCCTGTTTTCGGATCTGGTCCGTCATGTTTTCTGATTTTGCCCGCCCTGTTTTCTGATTTTCCTGCGTCAGTTTTTTGATTTCGGCTTTCCGTTTTGCGATTTTTGTTGTCTGATTTGGTCCAGTGTCCGATCCGTTTTCGAATTTGTTTTCTGGAGTCGTGGTATTTGGTCTGGTTCCACGGATGTTCGGAGTCTTTGAGGCCAAGGCGGAGCAAAGACTTGTGAAAGCTCGACAGAAGATGCGGGAAGCAACCCGGCTGCAAGTGCACTAGACTAAGAGCATGGGCAGTGGTCTGTTGCCACCAGGTTCGAAACCAAGTGGAGGCCGCCGGAGGCAGGAATTTCAGCAGCGGGGACAGGAGCAAGCGGGAGCAACAGAGCTCGCCGCGAGGCAAGCTTCGTGCCTCAGTGCCTGACCTCGTGGGCAGCCAGACATAGCCTCAGTCACTCACTTGGTGCATTCGCTCGACGCTTGTCTGCGCCATTTGCGCTTTGGGAGTCACTTTATCTCAGGAAACGAGGGAAGGATGGGCTAAGGGAGGCTGTGAAACGAGCACAGGCTTGCCGAGCTCTGCAAGGAAGGTGATCGAGAATTGTCTTGTATCGCTCTTCAGGTGTCGTCTGCCTCCTACGGCAAGTTTGACAGGATAGCGCCGAACGAGGCGAGTCAGAGACTTCGCAAGCCATCTTTCTCACATTTCATGGTGTTTCATCATGCTTCCCAGAAGAAGGCGACAAACTTGCAGCCCACACGCAAGAAGGGCATTGCGCCCGTCAGCAGCAACGCTGAGAAGGAGCCGCTTCTGCGCGTGAGTGAATCGGAAGTATCATGAAGTATCCACAAAAGCGGGCAGAGGACAGCTACTTGAAGACAGTGGGTCGCGTGCTGTCCGGCGATGGCTACATCGACAAGCACAAAGCCGCCAAGGCCTGATGGCGTTCTGACCACACCGTGGTGCATGTTTCGATTAGACGAAAGATGCGCGACAGGTTGGCGTGACGCGGGAGCGCCGCAACGACGCAGTGGGCCCAAGTGAGATGCAGTGTGACTCTCGCGGGGCCGAGCCCAAGCCTTCAGCCAGAAGTGCCTAGGCGCGCTCGCAAGCGAGCGGGAAGAGCGGGTCCAAGCGGCGCAGCAAACAAGGTGGAGGCAAAAAGAAGGGCCGACGGTGAGAGACAAGCCTGAGGAGTAGACTGAGGAAGTGAGAGGCCGACTTGGAAGCAAGTCTGAGACTGCCCCCGCTTTCACGGCTTTCACGGCGTTTCACCTCCATTACAGCCGCTTTAGCCACTCAGCAACTCAGCCGTCGGAGAAAGCGTCGAGCTCGCAAAGCGTCCTGGTGAACATTTCATGGCTTTCTTCGAGAACTTCACCCGAACACTCTCGTTGTGGGCTCAGTGTTGTAGTTTTAGGCGAACAGGATCATGGCTCCTGGGATCGCAGCGAGTCCTTCCTGAGACATGTGGGGCACCTGGCATGCTTTGCTTTGACGGCTGCGCTGGGGAGGCTCCCTGCTTTGGGGCAGGTCGGACAGGCCGCAGTTCGTGAACAGGTCTGCTCAAGAGCACCTGATGCGGGGCCCCACAGCTCTGAGATCTGAGAAAACTTGACGGTCCCCTGGAACCTCATGACAGAGAGAGAGCCCTCAGGTACATACAGGAAAAGGTGAATCCGGTGTTGGAGGCCCAAAATGGAGAAACGCGCGCGCGCGCGCTCGTTTCGGGTGGAACTGTTGGAGACGGTCCGAACCCTGGCAGGCGCTGGTGACTGCAGTTCTTCTGGAGCGCCCCGACGACCCTTCCTTTTTCATGCTTAGGCGGGCTAATCAGGGAGGGTTCTGCAAAGGAGCGGTCCGTCGTACGACGCACTTTTTGGGTGCAAAGGTGGCTCTGCGAGCAGACAAAGTCCTTAGATGGTCCAGAGCAGGTGGGGGCGGAGCAGAGCTCGAAGCGCCGGAGGGTTTTTCGTTGGTTCTCCGAAGCCGAGGGCGGCGGCCAGCGGGCCAGCTCCATTGCCGAGGAGGCGTCGAGTTTAGCCCCGGGGCGCTGGACAGAAGCGATCTCTGCCTGTCAAGCCGCAGCCCGGCTTTTTTGCATCGTCTCCCTTCGGCACTTTCCATGCTGTTGATCACGAGATCCGGGTGTAACGGCTGCCATGGTAGCCTGATAGGAGCTTTGTTGAATATCAGTGCCATATACCACCTTCCTGCTATACCATTTGCCATGGCCCTTGCCCCGAGCTCGAGTGGCCCGAGCGACATCTCCTTGGCGGACGTGCTTCGTGAGGTCTCTGACATCATGAGCAATCCCAGGCGCTTCTCGGGTTCAGGTTCAGGGTCCCGGTCGCAAGGTTGAAGAGTCCCGGGGTCGCGTTTCTGCAGCCTTTTTGAGTAGATCGCTGGGGATCCTTGGATCTTGTGGGCCGTTTGCAGATCCTGGGAGAATCGTCGCGAGACCATCTTCGAGTTGCTGCGACGATCTCTCCTCCAAAGCGGCCGGCCCGCTCCCCGGAGATCCTCCCACACAAAAACCCATGGCAAAAAGACTTCTCAACGAGGAACGACAGCTTGGACTCCAAACTACATGGCCCAGACAGCAGCATCGAGACTGCCTGGCTCTTTCTCTTGACGCAGCTGGGATCAACTCGGGTTTCGGTGCTTAGCGCGCTATAGGTGTGGCAAGGTGCAACACATAAACCACTGGCTGAAAGGGGGCGGGAGACGCGCCAACCGTATGTTGCTAGGATCGTCCAGGTCGTCCCAGGCTTCCCAGGCAGGTCCATGGAGGAAGAGAGGTCACCTCCGAACCGGCATCAGGTTGCGGCGACGAAGCCCAGTTCGGCAGAGGCGCATCGACGAGTGTCTGAGGGCGCTCCGTTCCTCTGACAGGCCGGGTTTTCCGTGGTCTCACACTGGGCAGAGGCTCATCGGATCATCTTTTTTGATGCTAAGGTGGATGCAGATCCTCAGGCAGTCGTCCAGGGCACAGGAGCTGCTAGGGGATCAAACTGGAGCTTTGCCTGCTCCGCTGTCAGACCTTGAGGGGGTCGACGTCGCAGAAACGGCCCATGAAGCCCATCCCAGATTTGGCAACCTGAGTCCCAAAGCAATGGCTGGCACGGCGGTTTTCTCAGCGGCAATGCAAGCAACTTCAGGCCCAAGCTCACCTGCAGGCGGTGCTTCACCAGCACAGGATCGTGATCGAAACGGCGACAGAGCCACGGATAAGATCGAGGAAGGTGCCAAGGAGCCGCAGCATCATGTCACTTCGAAGGTGGTTGGGGCCACGCAGTCAGCTTTCCAAGCAGCGCGGGACACCAATCAGAAATATGGGGTCACCGACAAGATTGGTGAAGGTGCGAAGTCTGCATACACGAAGGCGCGGGACTTCGAGCAGCAGCATCATGTCACGTCGAAGGTGGCTTCTGGGCTTAAAGCCGGGATTAGTGGTGCTGCATCGGCGGCTGGGTCGCTGGCAAAGGGTTCGAACCCGTTTACCCACAGTGCAACATCACAAACGGAGGCCCGGAAGAATTCGGGGAGGGAGCAGGTGCTGCTTCTGCAATTTTGCTGTGCTCTCTTGCTACTCGCGACGCTAGTGACTAGTGTAGTGCTTGCTATGCTGCTCAGCGCAGGTCAACTCCCGGAATCCTTTCCGGGAGGTGCGCAATGGCAATCCGTTCCGGTGACCCTGCGCCCACTTCCCATGACCCCGAAGACTCGGCATTGACCTCGGATGCCGGTGGCCACTCCTCTACGATCCCGGCGACGAGCTTCCACAAGGATGTTGCCCGAAGGCTCTCGAAGAGTGTTAACCCGACCGTCGAAGCATCGACCGTGTGGAGTCTCCTCGGAGTGGGCCAGCGATGGCTTCACCGTCGCAGAGCTGTCATCTCCGGTATGATGTGACGAGCATGCCGCAGCAGCGCGCAGCATCCTGTAGCGGCGAAAAGAGCCGTGTGCAGTGCGGAAAGCGGTGGTTGATGTCTCTTGTCTCACGCGAAGTCATGCCTGCGCAGATCGAGACGGTTCAGGCAGAGATCAAGAAACTGAAGGCGCAGAACAGTGCATGGTAATCGATGTTTAGAGGGGTCTGAACTCGTTGAAGGAGCGGAAGTCGGAGTTGCAAACTCTGCTGGGCTTGGAAGAGGCTCTCCGAGGGTCATGCGGAGGTCAAGGTGCCGCTGTCTGTTGGTGGTGACATGCAGATGGCAGGAGGTGTTGCCCTCAATGGACCCAGCATGAGAACTCCGTGAGGCTCTTGCTTTCTTTGTGCCAGCGGCGGGTTTAGGCTTGACCAGCGCTGTGCAGGTGAATGGTGGGGGTGGCTTCTGACGCTTCAGGAGCAGGGTGTCGCAGCACGAGTCTAGACGCCAGGAGACTGCAAGCAGATGGGTGGAAACTTGAAAATGATGCCGACAGCAATGCGTCAGAACTGCACCGAACCTTCCTTTTTCCGCGGTTACTTCACTCAGTCTCAAATTGCACCAGAAGGAAAGTCTGGTGGATGTAGGGAGAGCGTGCAAGAGAGACCAACTGAGACACTGGGCCGGTGTCTCCTTTCGCGAACCTGAACGCAACTCAGGAGGGAGGACCTGAAGGTTTTTAAGCATGTCACTTTCTGAGAGCTTCTTGCTGTGCTCCCAAGTGAGTCGGCTTCCCCAGCCGGACCATGTTCAATCAAAGCGATGCAATCTGCCGTTCATGACCAAGAACGGAAGACAAGGAAGGACAACGCGAAACAACCTTCGAGCCTGAAACACATGTAAAGGCCCATACCATGTTCGTGGCTGGCAGTTGAGCCTATTGCCAGCTTTCGAGCGAGACGTTTGGAAGTGGCAAGCGACGAGTTGGAATCATAAGTCTGAGACTTTGAGGAGCGTCGCATTAGAGGAGGTAGCACCCTCGCAGCTTTCCTAAAGGGCTGGTGATTGGGGAGCTTCTTTGGAAGATGAGGCTACGTCCTGCAGCCACTTGGAGTACTACTTACAAGAGACGGCTGCGGTTTCGGTCCTGCACACCATGTCGCATGACCAATTCCTTCTGCGAGCTCATTTGGTGCAACAGCTTTACGGCGTATACGGTCCAGGCCTCTTTCCCGCTCCGCGGACCAGTGCAGAGTCGGGGTGCTGTCCCCACTTTTCCCCACCAGGGCCGGTGCCGCGAAAGTCTTTTTGGCCCGCCTTTTGACTCTGCTCATCTGAATGTTGAACTAGTCTTGGGGCAGCTGTCTGTTGTGATCCATTTGGTTCTTGTAGTGGTCTATCCTTGGTCATTGGTCCTTCCGGAGTCGCTATCACATCATTGTTCCTGGTTGTTGTGAAGCTTTGTTGAGAATCGGTTACAGTCGTGGGACGGCGACAGTGGATGATGTGTGGGTACAGTAGGAAAGGACGCGGAGGACAACGAACGATGCAAACAAGCACAGCAACACATCAACGGACGAAGCCGAGGATAGCTGCAGCACAATTAGATTTCACATGCCAGAGCTGGCAGCCAGAGAATCTTGGAACAAAGTGCTCAGCAATCCCAGCCTAGCGGACCTAGCAGTCGCGCAGATTTTTTTTTAACGAGTTTTCGCATCCCCGACCTTCGTTCGTCACGGATACGATCGATCAGTACATCCCACGAACAGGTGACCCAGACGTAGTGCAGCAGCATTTCTTATGGAAGTTGTCTCCGCTTGCCAGTGTGCGAGTTCGTCGTGGTGGCTCAAAGGCCATTGGCTGTGTAGACTCTAGAGGCATCAGAGGTGCAATCTTTCCACGTGTTGTACGTTGCTTCTGGATGTAGAAGTTCCAAGCATTACAGATTCCCACTCACTAGCTGCAAAGGCTTGGAGTAGTCATGCTGCGAGGGACTCAAGCCATGTCGCGCTTTCACATCCCGCTGGCTGTCGCCTCAGCAACACAGCGGAAGCAAAAGCCGTGGAAAGTTTGGTGCATGGCAGCGCCGAGTGCTTGGCGAGGACACGGCGTTTCAAGCAACAACGGACGTAACAGGTGGAGGAGGTGGAGGAGGGGTTGGACACCCAGAAAACCTCTCATTTGCTTGTTTTCCGCCGAGCGCTTGGCTGCTGTCGTGTGCTGCAGGCTACTCCGCCCAGTGCCGCTACACCTCCCAACGAGATGGCTGAGGCAGGCGTATGGCCTGAATTGCCCAATGCTTTTTCCTTTCCTTTGTTGCACGGTTCGAACCGCTTCTGAGGCCGCATCGCAACGGGCTCGGCATGTGCGGACGGCAAAGTTTTTGGGTTTGAAAGACCATGAATGGCGGCATGCCGTCAACATGCATTGCGTTAGGTCTGCGCGATTTCCACTTCACATAACGTTCCAGCCTTTCACTTCTCCCGCCAGGCAGCGTACACAGCATCCAGGGCAGCGCAGGCAGCGCAGTACGCTTCACAACAGGCCCGGGTTCGCCAAGCGTTCGGAGAGAGCTTCGCTGCGATTCACAGGCGCAAATGGCCACGAACTCTGCCCAGAATGTGGTGGCCACAGAGATGGAGACGGTGGTTCTGTTGAAAAGACGAGCGTCGACAGCTTCCCGAGGCAGTTGCTCAAGTGAGCTACTTGATGAACAACCCGGACTTGAGATCCGCACCGGCCCAAGATCGGTCTCCTGAGTCTCCTGGGTCGTGCGCCACGTTGATGTTTAAAGATGGCTAAGGCAGCTTTGGACGGCGTCCTCTCGGATGGCTTAAGCAGCTCTCCCGTGCTGCTGTCCCTGTGCATCTGCAAGGCACACGGACACAGCACGCTTAGCCTGCGAGTGAAAGTCGGGAGCCTGTTCAAACCAGGAGCCCCACACCACCAGTGGAAGGCCCGGGAAGTGACGTGTCAGGATGGTAACCTAGCCGTCATTGGACTCGGGACCTGGACAGGAGCAAACGCGACTGCTTCATCTGATGACCTGCCGCATGGCTATCGCCTGGACCCCTCTTGCGAGCAGTGCCAGACGCAGACGCAGACTTGACCTGAATCGTGTCGACCAAAGTGCCAAAGCAGACTCTGGCGCACGGTCATGGCCCATCCAGCTGCTCGCAGTACCTGGAGTTGCTCCGTCGTCCGATGCAAGACAGTCGGTCGCCATGGGCCGAAAATGCCGGGGGGGGGTGTGCAGGAAAGCCGGCACGCATGGCATCTTGAGGAGGACATGTTTGACTCTGCGAAAGATCTCGGCTCACAGGAAATTTAAGAGCCAGATTGGATGGCCGCTCTTGCACAAATTTGCTTTTAGGCTCCAGTCAGCCACGAGCGTGCACAAACTGGCAAACCGCAAGCTGAGAGCTAGATAAGAGATCTTGCAATCCACGAGCACCATTGGACACCCCGACTGTGGGCCAGTGGCTCACCTTCCTGCAGATTTGGACGTCCCTTTTTCACCGTGCCAGCGCATGGTGAGCTAAGGACTCATGGGCCAAACCCAGAACGTTGAAGAAGGTGACGGTCATTTCTTGCTGCTCCCTTTCTCTCGCATGCTCGCGTTGTGTTCCGCGCAGGTGCTCCACCCATCACTCCGCCTGAAGTGGAGGTGAACCGTCGGCGAAAGGCCTGGGAGCGCACAGCCTTCTCTTGCTTCGCGGCGAAAGAGCTTGTTTTTGGACACCAGGACTACCTGCACCGCTTGGGGATCCAGAAGGATCATGAGCTCCTCGGTGAGAAAAAAGGCTCTCGGGAAGCAGGGCTCCAGAGTTGAGTTCTCCAGGAAGTTTGCTGGCTACCAGCCTCCCGTTCCACCGACTGCCACCGCTGAGGCCTTTTCAAGAGAGGCCCCCCCCTTCCCGCCAAGGATGTTCCATTTTCAACTCGGGAGGCACCGGACAGGCTTCAGCACCCAGAGGAATCGGGGGAGAAAGAGGCCGGGACACACCGTCGGTACTTGTCTGGGCTCCAGCTGCATTCGGGCTGCACGCACAGGGCGAGGATTTTGAAATGAACGCACTGGACTTGAAGAGTTGGGCGCCAAGCCCACCGAGCAGGAGCTGCATCTGAGTCCAACAGCTCTTCACCGAGGTCAAGACGACTTCAGGGTGAACTTTCTCCGCAAGCTTTCCTACTCACAGGTGTGGGTGCCACAGGCCCGCACTTTGTCTGAGAGCTGCCCGTCACTTTCTCTTGCTTCTCTTTGTGGCTCTGAGGCGCAGAAGTCACCGCAACATCAGACGGTGATCATCTTCGACTGGGATGACACGCTTCTGTGCACATCATTTCTCAATCTCCGCCAGGACCCAGACCTTGCGGCATACACTGTAACAGTAGATCCGCAGTTCGTAGGAGGGCAAGGGCTTAGGCTTCTAGGTTCTAGGGACTTCGGCTACCACAGCTCGAAGGCCTGAAAGTATACCTGCAGAAACTTCTCTGCTACAAGCCAAGCACCGTTCGCATATCGGGGCGACGAATCCGGGCACAGACTTCGGGCCACTGCGACCTTCTGCATCCTTCTGTTAGTTTCGGTCATGTCGTGAGAAGGTGGCAGAAAAGCATTGGCTCGCAGGAGCATGGGCTCTCCCATGCCGTGGAACGATGCCTGAAGGCCAGGCTACCTTGCTCTTTCGCCATTCCGCCTCTTCGACCCAGCTCTAACTTCCGAGACTGCAGAGGAAATCGAGTCGGCTTCGAAGAAGCTTCTGCAACTTGCCCAGCGCATGGTGCGAGCCCCAGCCTGGAAAAGAAGAGCCCAATACCGGGTACCCATCGATGAGCTGTTTTCCGTGGCCAGGGCCACACCTTCATCATCACGAACGCCATGAGTGGTTGGGTCGAGTACAGCGCGGCGAAGTGGGCCTGGCGCCCTGGGGCCCCCACCTGCCAATGGGGCTCAACTGCCGTGACCCTCCGTGACCCTGCAGGCTCCGGGCATGTTGGACGTGCTTCAGAGAATTCGGGTCATCTCTGCGCGCCCGCTTCACAGTCAGGACTAGAGTTCGTAAGCTGCAGGGCGCATTTGTTTGCATGTTCCTGCTTGCGAAATTCGCCAGAGGCACCAAGTTTGAGCCAGAATTTCCCGGAGAGGTGCGATGGGACAGCTGTCCAGGAAATGTTTCTTCCTGCATCCAAAATTTCGTGAACCGGTGATGTCAGGTGGGAAAGTGGAAAGAAAATGCTTTCTTGGAGGCATGCTGCTTTCCTCTGCTCCTCTACCTCTGATTCTCGCGAATCTTCCCGAGGTGCAAAAGCAGCTAGATAACGAGATCATCACCAATCTGATTTCCGTAGGCGCGCTTCCCCAGATCTGGGAAAGACATTCGTAGCAGAAATCTGGAACGGAATTCTGTAGGCGACTCGAACTTCGAGATGGACGCCTTGCACGTCATGGGCAAGCAGTTTGCGCAGGCACGGGATGCGACTGGGCGCGCCCGTCGACTTGCGAGATCGTTCTTTTGTCAGGCCCTCGTAAAGACGATCAAGTTCAGGGAGAACCCATCGCCAGAAGAACTTCTAAAGCAGTGGCACCGCCGGAGTTTTCAGTTCGGCTCCTCAGATGTCAGTCAGCTGAGATCTGACAGGTTGGAACTTGTGACGCAGAAGTTCGAGAAGATCGTGGAGAATGCCCGCAACCTGAAGGCTTTCAACGATGCTATCATGCGATGCATTTCAGCATGTGCAGCACATCAATGTGGCAGATTGGATTGGAGAGAAAGTGGGTTGGGAACCCGCATGCCGTCAGAGACCCAAGAGAGCCAGCACGGTGTCGCAGAATGAGCCCTGATGCTGACGAGTCCTTCTGTGTTGAACCTCCACTCACAGGGCTAGGCAAAGGCTTTCAGGTGCCTCCGATTTCGGCCCACCTTTGCTGCGTCGAAGCTTTCAGATTTGCCCTGAACTGAGGCCTGAGGCGAGGCGTTGAAACAGCGACTCTCTCCGGATCGCATTTCGTAGGGTCAGCAGTGAAAAGTGAAAGGTGGACCTTCCAAGTTTCCTGCGCTGTCAAAATGGCAGCGAAAGGCAACAGATGCCTCGGCGTGGGGCATGCATGTTCTCCTGCGGTCCACCCTGGCAAAGTACCTTGACCACTGCATGTCATGGCGACCAGAAGGTGCAGCCGAGGAACACGCCGTTGCCACAGAAGTGAGAAGATGGATGGACAAAAAGCAGCAGTCTTCCGTGAGAACATGCAGTCATTGCATGCAGTATGATGTAGTCGCTAGGGCAAGCATGTGCATCGAGGCGTGTCTTTTACGAGGTATATTGGGATTAGCTTGGTTTTGATCAGGGCGAGAGTTTCGGATTTAGGGTTTTCTGGTTTAGGGGGTTTGGGGGGTTAGGGTTCAGGGCTGTGCAATCTTGTGTGAGATCTTGAACCCATGCGTGCAACGATCTCCTTGCCGAAGAATCATGTCGATCTCGTGGATGTGCCTCTGCTGAGTCGCAAGAGGGCTTCTCTGGAAGTGCAGGCGGATGCATCTGTGCGTGCTTGGGTGAGGCCCTGAGCCCTAAAACCCTAAATTCTAAAGCCTACAAATCCTAAGGTCCTACGCTAAGACATCGTCCGAATTACGGTAAACAATGCGTGCACGCAGCCATTGCTGGGTCTCATGGCATGCTTGAGAGTTTCACATAAGTGGATCCTCTCGATTTGCTGCATAGACTGATGGATGGTGGATATCGAGAGATATCAAGCCATCGATGGCGACAACCAACGCAGATATTCAATATCCTGGCAGCAACATCCCACCATTTGCACTAGAGCATGTCGAAGTGACCAGGAACAGTATCTCTTAGACAGCATGATGATTCATGGCACTGGGGCGGTTCGCGCTTGCCAGTGATACACGCCTGTGATGGACTTAGTCGTCGAGCCTCCTGTGATAAGTGGAATGGGCCTAGGACCTGACAGGTGAGGCGGATGGTTGCCGCCAGACATGGCTCGCAGAGTCCGGATCTTTGGAACCAGAACTTCAGACACGTGATAAACTGTGCTGGTTGTTGTCTCGGATGAGGCTAGAAGCAGCTCCGACAGGCGAAGTCGCAGCCGCAGCCGCAGCAGCAGCAGCCGGAGCAGAAAGAGCAAGAGCCGCAGCAGCAGCAAAAGCAGCAAAAGCAAGAAGAGCAGGAGCAGCCCTAAACCCTAAACCCTAAACGCATCCTGGGCATAGCTTATCTGATGATTGGGATGTTCTTTGGGTTTTCGCTCGGGTTGTTTTTCGTGCTGGGTGCTGTGCGACGGTTGGGAGGCTATGACTGGGTTGATCGTACTAGTAATTTCCGTTGTGGTCTGCTGGCCTCCCAACACCCTACCTCAGCCACTGTGGCATTCTGGATTCCCTTCGGGCAGACGGAAAAGAGGTGACAAAAAGAAAAACCCAAAACCCTAAAACTCCTAAACCCTAAACCCCTGAACCCTAAACCCCGAAACCCTAAACCAGGAAGAGCAGGAAAGCCAGCAGCCAAAGTGGAAGCCGAAGGAGGCGCAGCCGCAGCCGCAGTCGGAGCCGGAGGCCTTCGTCCAGTCCCAGTGGCTTTGAATCCTTCTTTGCAGCTCTAACTAAAGCCCTTGCAAAGCCCTAAACCCTAAACCCTAAAGGCCTAAAGCCCTGAACCCCCAACCCTAAGCCCTAAAGCCTTCTAAACCCTAAAGGCCCTAAAGGCCCTAAAGGCCCTAAAGGCCCTAAAGGCCCTAAAGGCCCTAAAGCCCTAAAGTCCTAAAGGCCCTAAAGTCCTAAAGCCCTAAGGCCCTAAACCCTCAACCCTAAGCCCTAAACCCTGAAGCTTGCAGCTCGTCAGGAGCCCGAGCCGAAGTCGGCGGAACCGCCGAGCCCGGGCCGGGAGCTCAGAGATCCGCAGCGGCTCCGGGGCTCCGGCTCCGTCCCATCATGAAAGGTATTTAAATATATGCAAAAAGGAATATAGATGATAAATATACATGTAAATATACATATAGATACAAATAGACAAGTAAGTAAATGAAAAATTCATAAATATGGTTCAAGGGTCGAGGTCTACCGCTGCGTTTTGCATTTTTTTAGGAAGACGTGTCATACGTTTGTATGAGGAGTTTGACCCTTTAACCAATATGGTTCAAGGGTCGAGGTCTACCGCTGCGTTTTGCATTTTTTTAGGAAGACGTGTCATACGTTTGTATGAGTCATAAGGAAGACGATCAGAAAGTTGCAACATGGAAATACACGACTCGTTCTAAGCATCTCTAAAATTTCATTTCTTAACTAAGTACAGCTTTCATTCAGATAATGGTATTAGATGGAATATCGTCGAACTATATACTGAGGAATGGAAATCGCATACTTAATGTCAATGTAGCTAGCAGTCTATGCATGAGTATCCCTGACCGCAGTAGCGTGACTAATTAGTAAACATTGTAAAATCATTATGTGTTCGGTTCACTTGTTGGAAAGACTGCTAATAGCACTATATTATTGTCATCTTCACATTGGGTTGGATATTCGTTAAGAAACACTCCGCCTAAACAGGTCCGAGGATTTAGTCTGCTCGGTGAATTATCTATGTAGTCCTGAAAATAATAACATGTACGACTTCTAAACCTAATAAAATACGTTTTCTTTGAAGTATACCAGTATCCCGAGAGATACTACTGTGAACGTATATGTATATACATATGCTATATGCCAAAAATTTCTATCAATTGGCAGACGACAACCTGTTTATGTTGCTAGTATACTTAAGCTGGAAATCTGACTATTTTTAGCTCAGCAAAGACTGCACTTGAATTGCTCCGAGGAGTCCAATTATCTACAATAGTTACCAACATAATAACTAACGTCTCTATAGTCAGTAATCCATATAAGTATGTCATTATCCGTGATTGTAGTATTTTGACTGTCAAAGGCTGCAACCTAGTTTTCATACCAATTGAAACCACTTGAACTGGAACATAGGGCATTATGTCATTATGTATTACATGTTCAGGACAGATAAACTGACAAATGAAAATGTAGAGATAACACCATAACAAGTTATAGAAACATACATAGCACCGAGTGCTTCTGAACAGCTTTGCAATCTTTGCTCCAGCAATATCCAACAATAATCATGAAGGTGTCCTTGTATATGTTGTCTAATTCCGTAATGATTAACTTCTCGTCCAACGTACAGAATTGGGCCAAACATGATTGCGTTTTAAACTGAAGTTGCTCTAGAGAATGTAAGTTGAAGTGACAGTCGTTATTTCATTTAACTGCACTGTCAGTTATAGTACCTCAATGCCATATCTTTAGATCAATGCCATCTCCGAATACTACAGTTGAAGCTAAAAAAGCGCAGGGCATGGGGCGAGTTTGCCGGACCACGCAATTCCCCCGTTGTGTTTCCGGCAGTTCAGGTACGCCTCTTCGACAACACCAGTGTCAACTCTTGCCCCCAAAGGAGGTGCTCTGACAAA